CCACAGAGATCTGTCTACCTCTGTCTCTGGACAGCTGGGATTAAAGGTTTGTGCCACCCCACCATGCCTGGTCCTTAACTTGTTTTGAAATGCTTGGCTATAGATACGCTGATTTATTTTATGTTTCTATACTTAGGATGATACCATCCTATTTCCACTATTTCAGTTTCAGAATATATTACAAAACCTAGTAACAATGAATTCTACTGTTCTTTTTGTTCAAATTTTCTTTAGAAATTTTGGCTTCAAACAAATTCTGGGACTGTTTTGTACAATTATTAGAATTAATTTGGCACTACGACCCAGATGTATTTACTATATAGATTGCTTTGGTAGTACAAGTAATTTAACAATATTGATTCTTCAACTCTATGAACAAAGGGTATTAATTTGTGCATGTGTTTATTTTCTTTAATTTCTTTCATTGGTATTTTATAATTTTCATTATAGCAAAATTTTATATTTTGATAAAATTAAACTTATATTGATTTCTTGATTTTTATTACAACGATCAATCTGCATAAAACAATATTGCTAATTTTGGGAATGTTTATCATTTCATTTTATAGAATTATTAAATTCACTCATTTCTAATATTAGTTTTCATTATATATACATACATGTATATATGATGATATAATCTTCAAAGAGTAACAAGTTAACTTCTTTTTAATTTTGTCATCTTTACTTCTTCCCTTGCTATGAAGTCTCTGTCTAGGATTTCCAGTATTATGTTTGATGAAGTTAGAAAGTGACATTCTTATCCTCCTCCCCCCATTTAATTAAAAACTCAGATTTTCACAGTTCCATATGATCCTAACTGTTGGTTCATTATAAATTATTTTTACTATGTGAATGCAGTTTATTTCTATTTCCAAATTTTGCTGTTTTTCAAATGTGATAAAATATGAATTCTACTAAAACATATTTCTGAATTTATTAATTTGATCATGTAATTTTTAATCTTTAGATTTTTTATGTAGTATGTCATATATTGATTTGTATATTCAATGCCTGTCTAGAATGAATTTCAATTTATCATGTTTAACACGAGTTAATATGTGCTGTTAGATTTAGTGCAATACAATTTTTTGAAGGTTTTTCACATCTATTTTTATTTTGGATAATTGATATAGGTTTCAGTTTAGTGACTTTTTAGTCTTGGATGATTTTGGTATAGGGTAATGCTGGGGTCATAGAATTTTCCCTTCAAATTGCTGAAATATTTACGAAGTACTGATCTAGTTTTTTGTCAATGGTTAAGCTTGACTGTGAAACCAAGAGTGCTGGTGTTACAGACATACCACCATGCTCAGCTTTGTACATAATTTCTGGACCCTGATTCAAGTGCTTTGATGACTGATATATCTTCTGGGACCATCGAGTGTAATTAAATTAATTATTATCTATTTCATTTGTTTCTGATGTTTCATTTTCTCCTTTGTCTTGGTTGGTTTTTGTCAACTCCACACAGACATATTTGGGAAGAGGAAATCTTAACTGATAAAAAAAAAAAAAAAAATGCCTCCATAAGAATGGCCTGCAGGCAAGTATGTCATTCTTCAAATTAATGATTGATGTGGGAGGGCCTAGCTCTTGTGGAGGGGGTGCCACCCTTAAGCAGGTAGTCCTGAGCTGTCTAAGAAAGTCAGGGGAGCAAGCCAGGAGGAGCAATCCAGTATGTATGCAGTATTTTCCCATGGCTTCTACTTCAGTTACTGCCTCCAGGTTCCTGCATTAAATTTCTGTGCTGACTTTCCTCAGTTATAACTGTGACCTGTGATTTGTTAGATGAAATAAACCTTTTTTTCTCTGCATGTTACTTTTGGTCATGTCTTTTAATCACAGCAATAGAAGCCATAACTAAGCTATCCTTCCATTAATCTGGCATTTGGTTTATTTTGAAACTCAAAAGCTTTTGATAGGAATAGATTCTCTCCCATCTTGAGTCATAAATTAATGAAGATGTCCTTGAAGTTCCTCTTTCTGGGGAGTGGGGATACCCCTCATACTGGTGAGGAACAACATGCCTTTAATTAAGCCTTAGAGAAAAGGTTTTATTTATTTTTTTTTTATTTTTTTACCCAGGAAATTTATTCAAGTATTTAATAATCTTTGAATATCAGACTGATCAGACATGTTCAGGCTGGTATGGATTTGTCCAACTTGTACTCCTTCAAGAGTTTGTTTTGATTGACTGGTCAATTAATTTAATTAATTCAGTTCTGTATTTCTCAGATCCAAAAGATGCTCTGAGTTCATCTTAACTAGTTCTTACCTTTAGGCCTAGAATCAGCCAGTTCTCCACAAAGCCCAGTTAACTGTTTTCAGAAACTAAGTTCTAGACTCTGAATATACTCGGCCATTTCATTTTAAGTCCTAATCTCTTATGGCCTTCCTGGAAATTGTTTAAAACACCCGTGAATTCATTGGGAAAACTGTGCTAGGTGCTGAGCCTTATGTACTGACCTGATCCTCAGGCTAGGGGACCTGGATGCTACCTGCATGTTGCATGTTGTCACAGTTCCTCTCTGAACACCTGCTGCCCTGTTTCCTGGAGTTAAGTTGTAATTCTCATTTCAAGGTCAAGGCCCTTGTGGTAAACACAAGGGGCTGAGTCTTTGTTATGAGCATGAATGTTTCTGAATCAATGTACAAGTATTAAGACATGAATAAATTGGATTTTTTTAGTCTAGTCATGTGGATGAAGCTCACACATAACACATGTGTAGTATCTACTTAATACAAACTCATTAAAATATCAGAGTACAAAGAAGTATCTATTTTTCCTCTGTCCCTCTGGCACATACCATTTATCAGACAAAGGGAGGTGACCATGAAGATAAGAAAGAATGACATGGAGCAGCAAGGGTCTTTGGGATGAAATTGGGTTTATACACATATGTGTGTCTACATATTGTGTGATAGATTTTTTCTGAAGATCTGAGAAAGACACACTTTAACTTATCCCAAAGGAGAGCCCCTGACAGATAAAAGTAATGATTCTAGTAATGCCAAATTTGGTGACCAATGAATTAGGCTTACTAACAAAAGTATGGATGAGGGGTTACTTACAGGGAACAGGGATTACACAAAAGCAACTTTAACAACTGAAAACTCACCCCAACATGGGCTTCTGAAACTGCAACCCTGGAGCTTTCTATGGAACCTCCACAGTCTAAATGTCTTCCCTCATTTTTGTTGGTGAGAGTCTGCACTACCAACAACTGTTTATTTCCATTTAGATTGTTGGATAAAGACACTCAACAATCTTTTAAGATTTTTTTTTCTTTTCACATGTGACCTGTGGAGCCCTTTAGTTTATCTCCTGAGGCTCATGAACCTCCCTCCATTTTCCTCCTGGAGAAAATAATACAGTTCCTAGGGAATGGTGCAATTTGGGAAAACATGCCATGTAAATGTATGTATGTATGTATGTATGTATGTACATATATGTATATATAGAGTGTGTATATATCACATCTATACACCAAGTAATATTCACCTTCACAAACATTCTAGAACATTAAAACTTGGAACAAAAACAATATTATACACAGTCTCATAATTTGAACCCTACTTTAAAAACCAGCTGATAGGAAACTGGAGAATGATTATGCCAAATATTTCTACTATAATACTAATAATTATTAGAGTAAAAAAGATAGTATATTGAATTCATATATAAACAAGAATAAATTCTCCAAAAAAATTTTTACCTAAATACATAAAACTAAATACCATTTGTTTTGAAATTTGACTCTAGAGTTCTTTATACATCTCCAGTACTACCTACTGCAATCTTGAAATACTAAACAACAATGAAAATAAAATTAGGAAAATTAGTTTTGTGTTTTTGTAGAAAATGATTTTTGTTTGTAATTAGTTTTAATATTATGATATAAATATTATACAATTGGGAGCTTGGAGGAAATTATATGCTTAGAGAGTTTGAAGAAGCTGACCAAGAAGACAGACAGATGAAATATTTTGGACAATAACATTTTAGTCGTGAGGTTGGAACAGGACCAATAACATATATTAAATTAGATGAGGCCATATGGCAACAAGAGAGAAATATACCATATGGGTATTGGTGGGTAAAGGCGTTAAAGCGATGAACTATTTAATAAATTCCAGTTCAGCTCAGTCAAGTTTGTATAAAATTAGATAAGTTGTAAGCAAATTCTGGTTAGGTAAAATGACATTATTAGTTTTTATAACATAACCTTACATTAATTAAACATAAACTTTTAGCCATCTCCTCTTAAAAATATCAAAGCTTCCCCCAAAACCTTACTACTATTTTCAATTCAATATTTAAGCTCCCTCAAAGCACTGGACATTTTGCCTGCATCTGTTCTAAAGCAAATGCAGCATTTCATTGAGCTGAATCTTTAAAAGGCAATAAGCCAACTAATACGTTACACTGCACAGGGATTGCTCCATGAAAAATAATGCTGATTCAAACGACAAACTGCTTGTGTCTCCATAATGTCAGAGTGTTTTATGAACTGGCATACTAAAATTCAATCTAAAATACATTGAGTTATAGTACTGCGACTCCATAAGAGCAACACATTGCTCAAGGTTCTGTTCTAAAATGTCTGGGAGCTAGGCTGCTCTTGGGTGAGCTTTCTCATGGCAGCACACAGTTACACTAGCAAATGCTTCACAGCTATACTTTGTTAAATCCAGAATACAAGTCAAGTGTTGATTCTGAACATCTCCCAGGTATTGCTCACTAAAGCTTGAACAAAAACCCTAAGAGTTCTTAGGCCACCTGGGAATGAACTCCAGACAAAGACAAGATACCAGAAATCCAAAACACCTGTTTCTACAGAATACCAGTATGTCTAACTTCTTACAAAGTCTTCCACCGTACAACTCATTACAATATGCCATCCTAATCAGACCTGCATGTAGCTTCATCTGTCTGAGTCATTGTCTCTGGAGCAACTCAATTTCCTCAAGCTGTAGATGGGCCTGAAATTGCTTACCTGACTCACAAGCAAATGTCTTTGACGTTTCGTCATGAAAGATAATTGCCACTGCATGCTTCTTTGTCTCTCGAGGCAGTCTGGTTATATTTTTGATGTTGTGCAGTTCAGTTACCTTGAAAGAGAAAAATATTTTTCTTTTTACTTTTGAAATTCTGGGGATAGGCCCCCAGAGCCTTATATGTGCTAAGCAAACATTCTATTACTGAACTACCTTTCCAATGAGATTTTTATTTTAATATATAGTATATGTGCTACATTACAGGGCATAAAACAAAATGGCAAGTTATACACCTTATGCTCTTAAGCACTTTCCAATAGGTCACTACACTAAGTTTGAATTGACTCTATCCATCAACAGTAAGGAACAAAACATAATGTCTTCCATTAGGCCTTCAGTTTTGGTTATCATTCATATTGGTTGCTATATTTGAAATAGTCTAATGATCATGCAGAATAGCTTCATGGAAGCTGTGCTGTCATTAAACTTGCATCTAAAGAAAGCAATAACTATTTGATACAAAGAGAGCAAAGAGAGTTCTCATTAAATATGTGTTGAATATTGATGAGATTGAGCAACAAGTGCCTCCTCTAATACCTTCCAATCACATGAGTTCCCAACAAAACTAAGCCACACAGCATCTGACACCTGACTATGGGATAAATCAGAATTTTAACATTTCAAGCTTTCAGTGTTTGAAAAAATAGATTCTAGGATTTGTGTACCAGTCATTTCCAAAAGTATGAATCCAAAAGACATAGAGCTAATTATTGTTAGCTCTCTGGCACCAAGAATACTGAATGAGCTTGAAAATAAAATTTTAGCCTAAGGTGGGGTAGTGACACACACTGAACATTTATTTCTTCATGATATATTTTGTTATTTATTAATGAATTTTGTTATTCAACAGTTTTCACATGTAGCTCGTGCATTCTGATTACTTTTCCACCTCTATTATATTTTAATACCTACATTAATATTGTGGCAATGGGCCTTTCCATGTTTAGGATTGTTAGCATGTCTATGATGTTGAACTTGAATTTACACAACTTTTATGACATCCTGATGAGCTGATATTAGCTCTATTATTGTATGAAAGCAAAGAAACTTGATGACCAGAGGATATAGCTACCCAGTACTACAAACCTAGTAAACAGGTCTGGTTCTAAGGTCCAGATTCCTGACTTCTCTACCTGCTGGTGTCTAGAGTTGCATCAATGTAAAGAGTATCTTCTTTGATAAAGTCCTCTGTCTTTTGACTTACTTGTATAACAAACAATACTTTTATACTTTATCATACATGCTTCAACTGTTATGAAGAAAACTAAGGAAAGGAGAAACACATTTCCATTTATAATAGAATCTTAACCTCATAGTTCAGAACTATTAAACTTAGAATTATTGAGATCAATTGTGCTGTTAAGTACAATGCATATACATATTATATATATTCAAAATTTCTTCCCCATATTTGAAGATAACACTACTGGTACTGATTAGGATTCCACAGTATAGCCACAGTAAAAGTGGTCAATTCCTGGCCAAAACCTGTACTTATATAAAATGAAACGTGCATAATAAAAGTATATAGTTATTGTTTTAAAAGGGTTATGCTCTACTTTTCAAATATTCTTTGAAGTTCTTAGTGGCCTCAAATTATAATACCACACACAACTCATAGTCTGTCATTTCCTAGAGAATTTTCATATGTCATTATTGACATTTGCTTTTCTCTCTACTTGTGGTCATCTCAAGATTAACATGAATCATTAAAATGGTACAAATATATATAATAAAGTCTTTATGTAAATGCATGTATTTTATGTATATATACACACTCCATCATCTACTTATAAACCTTCTACCTATCTAAAAATTCTTTTTTGTAATACTTACAAATACTATATTTTAACCACACAAAAGCCCATTCTTAAATAAAATGATTTGAACTTTTCTTTCGTTCTTCCTTTCTGGTGGTTTTTTTTTTTTTTTTTTTTTTTTTTTTTTTTGAGACAAGTTTCCTCTCTATTGTTTTGGAGCCTGTCCTGGTACTAGATCTGTAGACCAGGTTGGGCTTGAACTTACAGTGATATACCTACCTCTGCCTCCAGAGTGCTGGATAAAGGTGTGGGCCACCAACATCCAGCTAAACCCAATTTAATTCTGACAATACATTAAAGCTATATTTTGAAAAGCTATCATTTCCAAACATTATTAACTTTGTCTTAACAAATAATATTGTCAAAACTGAGTCTAAAAAACAATGATGAACATGTGTTGCTTAAGAATTATTGTACAAAGTGAGTATAAAGGTCACAATCTGCTAGAGTAAAATAAAATGTATTACATGTACTAAACAAATAATATAAAAATATTTATCAGGATCCTTTCACAGATACTTTTATTTACAAATGTAGAATAATATGAGAAAAGATACTATGGGCTTTATATTTTTTTGTCATCCCAACAAAAATTCTCATTTGAGTGGTATACAGATTTGAAAACTCTCTTGGGCACTAAAGAATGCCTAACATCAGTGCCTCAGGCAAACTGACAGTTAATGCAGTTCAAAAAAAGGTCCTGCTCTACTTAAAAATTTACATTTAGAAATACAGAGAACCTTTGCAAGCAGCCTTTGCTGTGGCTTCGGAAATAAACTGGGGTTCTTGTTGATCAACTGTGTGATTGGTTGATCTCTTTTATTTAAGGTTTTAAAGAGATGACAAAAAAGAAAAGCACTAAGAAATATAAAATTCTACTTTCTAAAAGATTCTTAATTCTAACTTTTTAGATTAATACCTATTATGTTTGAAACAACTACCTTCATTTTTCGCTATCAGTATTGATGTCAACTATATTTACTTAAAAGAGATCAACTTTTAAAATGATGTCTAGTATATTAAAATAAAGTTTTTCTTTTTTAAAATATTTAAAATTTTTAAAATATTTAAAAGAAATATTGTATTTATTAATATTTTAAAACCTGTCAATGCAACATAAAAATTATTAACAGCAATTAAATGTGTGAAATCTTGGATATTTCAATACAAAAACCAGTATTTTTTCACTATTTAAAAATTTCACATGTATCACTGAAAATTGATTTGTTTTTCATTTTTATGATGGTATAACATATTGATCACATTTTCATTAAAGCATTAAAGTAAATTTCTTTAAAGAAACATAAAGTAAACATGGAACTGAAAATAATTCAAGTTATTTAGGTCCCCAAAGATATACTGGTTAAAAAATTAAGATACTCAAGTTTTGCAAGTGTCAGAACACTTAAATATAAGCATATGTAGGTAACAGTTTTTATCTTTTATTTTTGCCGAGGTTATATTATAGTAATTCATCGACTTAAATGCATGTATGTCAAAGATGAAAGATTACCTTCTCTAGGAATATAGAGAAGAGTGTATACTCTTCTTATAGAAGAAACAATTTTAACTACCAGAACCCACATCGGACGGGTCATAACCTTTAATAACTCCAGTTTCTGGGGAATCCAACATTCCTTTCTGGACTCTATGGTCACTATACTCACGTGAAGACATACACACACACATACACACACACACACACACACACACACACACACACACACAAACACAAACACAAATAAAAATAAAATCTTAAGCAGTAATGTAACAATAGAAAAAGGGAAGATAAATGATCTGTAAGAATTTTGTTCTTTTTTTTCATTGTGTGAGAATTTTCTGCATGAATACAATGTGTTTTCAGCAAATCTAACCATCTAACCCCTATTCTCACTTCCCCAACTCACCCCTCTCCATTTAATGTATGAGTTCTTGGTTTGGCAACATCACTGGCATGACACTTAGGGTTTAAATAATAAGTGAAGTGAAAAAACCAGCCTAAAATTATATGCTTTCATCCAAATTAATTCTTATCAGAATATGTAGGGTTTAAATAATAAGTGAAGTGAAAAAACCAGCCTAAAATTATATGCTTTCATCCAAATTAATTCTTATCAGAATATATGTATATGTATATACACATTATACACATATATGCATACACATATATGCATGTTTACACATATACATGACATAGTATATATTAGCTATTAAACTTTGTCATTTATTCATAAGTTTAAAATAGTTGAAACCTCATTTCATGGTGAAGAAATGGCATTTAAATATAGAATGTTTCACTAATAATGTGAATGTTGGTATGTTTTTTGCAAAACTCTTCAATCTCTCTCTTGTTCCACAACAACTTGATACTCTTTTCTGTTTCTAAATCCAGGCAGTTGCAATATGTTATTTAGATCAAGTATATGTAAGCATATGTAAGGTCACACACAGTTGCAGAGTTATAAAACTGGAGATTAAATGAACATTTGGAGTCAACTGTGGCTATTGTTCTTGGATTTTACCTATTAATTGGACCAATACTTTTCTGAGGCTATATCAGTAAGGAAACTGAATCATGTTAAATATTTTCTTATTCTCCTAGATCAAAACTGATAGATCAATTTTCATAGGTGTTTTACTCATTATGGTTTTATATCATCTTGACCTGGTCATTAAAGAGATAAAAATTTACCAACTTGAAAATATTGAAACTTTATTTTATAGCATAAAAATAATTAATCTCATTCAATATTATCAGAAAATTCGGTAAGTTTTGAGTTGTTAAGCTCTATGACACTAGTAATGTTCATATTTTAATTATCTTTTTAAAACTCATATTTTTTACATGTTTTATATAAACAGTCATTTGTTTCCATGGAAGATGAACTTCAATGTTTCAGTTTGAGAAAATTAAGATAAATCCCACAGTCAGGGTGACGATAGTTTGTCACTCATCCCTCTATTAAGATGGGTGTTCTTGTTCATTTTTATGTAATGACTATTCTGTTGCAATTTCAACAAAAGCACCAGTGCTCCTTTGTACATCAACATGATGTGCTGGTTCACAGAGGCTTCCTATCTCCTTAAAGGCATTTCAAGATTCTCAATGTGAAATCTATGTTGAGGAAAAATGAAGATTTTTATTGCTCCAACATGACTATGTTTAAGTGAATTAAAATAAAATTACTATCTTTGTTTCTTTATACATGAAATTGCTGGTGGTAGTGCAAACTT